TTTAGAATCCGACCCCAAATTGAGGTCTAAATCCCCAAATTTCCGAAATCTCTAGTTTCTACCCTAACCCCTAATTCTACCATGAAAACTCTAGATTTTTGATTGAAAATTCAAGAAATGTAATGGGTAATTGAAAGAAAATGATTTAGAATCACTTACCAACAATTTGGGAAAGAATCGACTCTTGAAAAATCGCCTATCACCATTTGGTTTTTGAGAAAAATGAGTTTTTGGCTAAAATCCCGTTTTTGGATTCTGTTAAGTGCTGGGCGACAGTGTTCATCGCGTTCGCGAGAGCACTGTCGCGTTCGCGAAGGGTAAGTCCCCCATCACTTCGCGTTCGCGAAGAAGAAAACTTCAGCTACCCAGTTTACTCTTCGCGTTCGCGAGAGCACTGTCGCGTTCGCGAAGGGTAAGTCCCCCATCACTTCGCGTTCGCGAAGAAGAAAACTTCAGCTACCCAGTTTACTCTTCGCGTTCGCGAGAGCACTGTCGCGTTCGCGAAGGGTAAGTCCCCCATCACTTCGCGTTCGCGAAGAAGAAAACTTCAGCTACCCAGTTTACTCTTCGCGTTCGCGAGAGTACCTCCGCGAACGCGAAGAAGGACATGCCAGAACAGAGACTCTGCAGAAAAACCAGATTTTCAAAGTCCAAAACATCCCGTGGCCTATCCGAAACTCACCCGAGCCCTCGGGGCTCCAAACCAAATATGCACACAAGTCTAAAAACATCATACGAACTTGCTCGCACGATCAAATCGTCAAAATAACACCTAGAACTACGAATTTAGCAACCAAATCGAATGACATCCACAAGAACACTTTAAATTTACTATTTTCTCAACCGAAGGTCCGATTCACATCAAATCAACTTCGTTTCTCATCAAATTTCTCTGACAGGTTTTAAATATCATAATGAACCTGTATCGGGTTTCGGAACAAAATACGGACCCAGTACTAACAATGCCCAACATCAATCAGTTCTTAAAAATAATTAATTTTCACACTTTTAATTTTCATCAAAAATTCATAATTTGAGTTAGGGACCTCTAAATTCGATTTCGAGCATACGCCCAGGTCCCATAATTTGATACGGACCCACCAGGACTATCAAAATACGGATCCGGGCCCGTTTACTAAAACTGTTGACCGAAGTCAACTAAAATTAACTTTTAAGGCAAAAATTTTTATTTTCATTAGTTTTCAACATAAAAGCTTTTTTGAAAACCTGCCTGGACTGCGCACGTAAATCGAGGAGGGTAAAAATAAGATTTTTAAGGCTTAAGAGCGCAGATTCGAGTTCTAAAATATAAGATGACCTTTTAGGTCATCACAGTTAGCCACCCTCGAGCCAGAAGTGCTTCAATCGATATTAGAACAACAAGAAAATAATGAGAACTTAAAGAGAATAGTAATATATTGCTTTATGATGCGTGTTACAATGTCCGATGTGAATAATCAAACTCCCTTTATATAGTAGAGGAATTCTACTTTAGGTACAACTCTATAAAAGGTAAAAAGATCTCATGATTCGTTGATTACCGGTTCCTTATTGATTCATTGCCGAGATTCCTGCCGTAATATCCGACCGGTCACAGATATTTCGGACTTCTGTTAGTTATCTCAACAATATTTCTCCGAGCTCATCCGAGGCTAAGGTCGACACCGGACTTAATGTTCCTCGAAGGCAGGCTTATCGACCTCGGGCTCTAGCTCGGTGGGACTCGAGGTCGATTTTCAGTCCTTGGTCACCACGCTCCAAGCCTATTCTACCAAGTTGTAGTCGAGCTCAACTTCGACCGTATATAGTATGCTGGAAAATATTTTCCGAAAAATATTTTCACATTTTCCACTCTTTGGTTGCACAAAATAGTTTGAAAAATATTTTCCTAGATATCACATTTTTCTAAAATTGAAGGAAAATGACTTCCCTAAAAAAAGTTAGGAAAACATTTTCCAAAGCGGAAAAGACCTAAAAATGCCACTCAACTAACATAAATGGCCTATCTATGCCATCCGTTAAAAAGTTGGTTCATTCATACCACTAACATTATACTTTTGGCCCATTTATGCCACTTAACTAAATTAAATGGCCTACCTATGCCATCCGTTAAAAGGTTGGTCCATTCTTGCCACTGACGTTATACTTTTGGCCTATTTATGTCAGTGTCTACTAACAGTTCTATTTTATGATTTTTCCGTAATAAAAATTAATTTTTCGACCCCGGCTTTGCCACGTGTCTTTATATTACTGGTTCTTCTTTACTTGACTCTATATTTCTTTTAACCCTGATTATGTATAATTAACCATGCACAACCCGATAAAATCCAACTAGTCGTGATGGCACCTAACCTAACCCGCTGTGTAAGCCAATTAATAACTACCCAATTTAATGAGATTTGTTTAAGACAAATAAATGATAAAATAACTGAACCTTAATAAATGATAAAATAACTTATTAAATCTCCGTGGGATGAAACTGTTAGTAGACACTAGCATAAATATCCCAAAAGTATAACGTGAGTGGCATGAATGGACTAACCTTTAAACGGATGGCATAGATAGGCCATTTCTGTTAGTTGAGTGGCATGAATGGACCAACCTTTTAACGGATGATATAGGTAGGACATTTCTGTTAGTTGAGTGGCATGAATGGACCAACCTTTTAACGGATGATATAGGTAGGACATTTCTGTTAGTTGAGTGGCATAAATGTGCCAAAAGTATAACGCTAGTGGCATGAATAAACCAACTTTTTAATGGATGGCATAGATAGGCCATTTCTGTTAGTTGAGTGGCATTTTTAGGCTTTTTCCGTTTCCAAAAACTCAACCTACCCTCACATCTAACCCCACCCCCTCCAACTTCAAGTTTCTATTTTTTTTTTTATTTTTCTGCGCCACCCACCCACCCCAACCCCGTCACCCCCCTCCCCGCAATTTTGTTTTTTATTTTCAATTTTTTGCACCCCTTCCCCCCTTATTGTTTTTTAAAAATATTTTCAGTTCTGATTTTTTCATTTTTCTGTTTACAAGTTCGAAATTTTACGAGTTCCAAAGTTATGAGTTCAGAGGTTTATGTGTTTGGAAATTTGCGGGTGTAGAAATTATTGAGTTTTCAGGTTCGAAAGTTTGCGGGTTTGAAAGTTTAGCGGTTCAGAAGTTTATGAAATCTATGGGTTCGGATGTTTATGGCTTCATGTTTATTGCATCTAAATTATTTATGAATACTCTTGAGAAGTTATTTTCCTTAATTTGTGTACCAAACACCGGAAAATGAATAAGATTACTACTTATTTTCCAAGAAAATATTTTTTTGGCAAACCGTTTCCACGAAAAATATTTTCCGTTATACCAAACACACCCTAAATCTTGGATGCTAAGCAAGAGCCTAAATTGTATCTTCAAGTTTGGTTTATAACTATTGTAATGGTTTCTTTTCTTATCGAAAACTATTGGCACATCTGAAACTTGAATTTGGAGGCTGAATTGAAAGAGCAAACCTCCTTCAACATTAATCCATTGGTGTGGGCTGAACTCACGAACTCAAGCAAACCCCCAAAATGTTGGTGAATGCTTAGGATGCTGTATGAAATACAATTTCAAACTTGTATTTTTTATGAAGTTTGGAACGATAAATAGATGTTTCAAAAATGAGAAACTTCTGTCCAAACGCTTTGAATACAGTTTGTTTGTGTTTGGTGGCTGTCTGAATCAAAATGAAAGATGTACACAGAATAGATTCTCTAAACCCTCATACTTTTATTTTTATCCCCTCTGTATCCAATAACACCATGCTTCTTTATAATAGAATGTCGTGTTTATCTATCAAAAATTAGTTTTGTAACAAACAAAACAATAAGTTAGCGATGTTGGGCCCGTGCTCGGCACGGGCGTACCTCAGCTAGTTAAGTTGACAAAGTACTTGTACTCTTTTCAGCTTCCACGTGAATGACAGTTCAAGAGCAACCATGAAGAGTTTTATTATTATAATTAAGGGCAAAAAACATAATTAGGCAATTTTTCATAATTATCCATGTCAAAATTATCCCGCGAATCCATAAAGCATAAAGAAGATTGATAGTAATACACTAATACCCGCGAATCCATGTCAAAATTATCGGAAGCGAGAATAAGTGAATGATAAATAGGAGAAGAAGAAATATCCGGAGTATATGAAGGCTCCATCAGCGAGATACAGAACTGAAAAATACGGAGAGAGAGCAAGAAAAAAGTGAAAATTTCCCGTGATTAGTGCAATCCGTTAATTTATTAAATGTTGAGCCTAATTTTTATAATCTGCTATAAATGTAAAAAAAATTCTTTTTATGAAATAAACGAGAAATGATTCTATTTATTTAAATAATAGTTTAAAAAGGATAAAAATCTCTATAATTAACTCACGCTTTTGTTAAGTTCTTTGATTAGCTGAGCTATTAGTGTATCTGTTAATCAGAGGAATTGAAAGGAAGGGCCCAAATAGAATGGGCTGCGGCCTATCACTTAATTTTGTACTTCCAAACGAAACTAATACATTGCAATGAAACAAGGAAGCCCGACGTATTTTGTAAACAAGTATGACCCAAATATAAGCATCAGAACTATGTTTTGTCAATTTGCAAAAAGGGAGAGCAGATATGGGGAAAAAACAGTGACTGACCTAGAAAGAGTTTGGAATATAGCACAAATTAAGCTCTCGTTTGAGCATAAAATTTTGGCAACTTTTATTCAAGATTAACCCTTTTTCAAAAAAAAATTAAAAATATTATTTGTTCATAGAATATGATCAATTTTTATTTTTTTAAGTTTTTAAAATCTAATTTAGGATAATTTCTGGGTAAATTTTTTCTTTCATTCACGAAGCTTTAATTTATTTTGTCAAATAAAATACATGACCAACATAACTTAAATTTTATTACAAGTTCAAAAATATTTTTTTGAAATTTATGTCGAAACGCTAGTTTAAGTTTCTCAAACTACCGAGCACCAACGTGACAATTGTGTCCCTTTTTCTCTTGAACGGAACAGAAACAAAAATAAAACCGAACTCAAGCACACTGATAGCGATTAGTCCACTCCATTCGCATGTTATTTCACATTCCAATTACCATTTTCCGCTACTTCCAAAGTCAAAGATATTCCATTACTTGCACATTTTTTCTTCTTTCAATTACCTTTATTCAAAAACAATCTCTTTGTTATGAAATCGTAAATACTTTTGCACTTTTTTCTGCCCAAAACTGTTTTTGTTTTTTGCTTTTCCGGTTTTACTGTAAATAGTTATGTCGGACGCTTTGATCAGTGGCTTCGCCGGTGCCGGTGGCGGCATCATCGCTCAGCTCATCACCTATCCTCTACAAACAGTATTACTACTCTATTATATTTCTTCTTTTTTCTTAGTTTTATTTTTAATCTACAAAAATAGAATTAGTACAGCTTTTTTCTTGTTTGACTTGTGCGATGTCAGGTAAATACTCGGCAGCAAACAGATAGAAATTCTAAGAAAATGAAGCAAACGCTTGGAAGTATCGAACAAATTTGCCAGGTATTTGCTTTTTATTTTTCAGTTTTTAACTTTATTTACTTTAAGTTTTTTTTTTCTTTGTTGTGATTACTTGATCTGCAGGTTGTGAGGCAAGAAGGTTGGGATGGACTATATGGTGGCTTAGCTCCGTCGCTAATTGGTACCGCTGCGTCGCAGGTGACGCTTGTTTTTTGCTTTATGCTAATGTGCGCCGTGTGCGTACTTATCCTGTAAAGTATCTTTGATTAGAATATTCCGTGGTTTGTTGCGTGTGCTTGCTCATCAACTATGAATACCACCTTTGCCTACTACAACGATAACCAATAGGTCCTGAAATGGGCCTAGGCGGAGCTAATTCTGGATTAGTCGGGCCAATGTGTTCTGTATACTTGTGACCAAAAAAAAGTTTAACAACTATCAGTTCCAACATAGTTGAGGATTGAATTTGACATTTGCTACGGTTCAAAATGTTGTGTTAGTAATTGTATCTGCTTTGTTTTTTCCGAAAAATTAGGGAAAGAGAAATGACTATGCTTTAAGTTTTAGTGGATGCTGAGAACTTATTGTGAAATTAAAAAGAGATAGGAGTAGTGTAGTTTGATAATTGATTTTTGGTTAGGTTCATATTACTAAGTCGGACTAGGAATTGGTCACATCAAAATAGCCTATTACTGAGGAAATACTGTTATTAGTTTGTGAATAGGAGTAGGTAAGTAACAATTGATTATGAATTTGTAAATTTACTTCCATTGATTTGTAATTCCAGTTGTAATAGGTAAACTTATATTGGCATAAGGCAGCCTTGAGTTTAGGTATTGGGAAAATAAATCTGGGTAATATGTGGTCCCTTGACTCTGGAAAGATGTGCCAATCATGCAATCTTGATGCGATAGGTTATCTGCATGTAGTTATTTGTCCCTATCCTGCTTATGAGTTTTTCACATATTTGGTCCTCAAATATTAGCTTCTGCAAATATTTGCAAATACAACCATCATTAAGAACTTTATAGGTGGAATAGCACAAATAGATGTGTACCTAAAAAAAATGTTATTTTGGTAATTGGTATATCTTTTCTTAAACCTCCCATTATAGCTATTCTCTGGCATAGTTTCCAAAACTTAAGGTGGTCCTTCGTATAATACCTCTAACATTCTTCGGCGCTAGTTAAGTTGGACAGAACACCTCCTACATTTCTTAATCCTTTGAATATAGTCAAATTTAACATTTTTGGTCCCCATTAACAACCGTCAAAGCTGACTGGACTTCCCATTTTGACAATTATGTGACTGGCCCATTAGGGAATGAAACACATCGAAGCTAACACAATTAGGAGGAAATTTTTTTCCACTATTAGGAGGCAAATCAATGCTTATTTGGCAACCAGCTTTAGCTATCGCTCCCTCTATCCCTTATTGTGAAATCTCTAGGATTGTCAAGAAGGATTGAAGTCAAAAACAAAAGTACCTAATGGAAGTGTTGGCAAGAAGCAAGAGTAGTTGATCATCCTGAGTTTTCCTCTGTGTTTCTAGATTTTTTGTGGTTTGTTTTTCGGCATTAATGGCTAATTGGAATAGGAAGAGTGCATTATGCTGTTTCTTTTATTTGTTTTATAGTGGTGGTCATTCCATATCTTTGTTATATTCCAATGATATATTCAAAAACATAGTAAGGCTTAGCAATCATATTAGTAATTGTTTAAGGTATTACCTGCCTATTGGATTCATATCGCCGACCCCAACTTGTTTGGGACTGAGGTGTAGTTATTGTTGTTGTACTGTCTAATGGCTCTAATCGTAACTTTGTTACTTCAAAAGAGTATATCAAGTGCTTATTTTCTGCAAACTAAATCTTACAATTAAGAAAACTGTCTGCAACGATATTATCTCACTCGCCAGATAGCAATTTGTACATTAGATCAAACCAACTACGTCTTTGGCAATTGCATTAACTCATGCTTTGTGTTTCTACTTTGAAATCCAAAATGTACGTATATAATTGCAGCACATACAACAAATAAGAAATCAACTCCCCTCTAGCTTTCTGTTTGTGCCATTTGAGCTTTCACTGCCTTATACTTTCCTTTAACTTTGCCAACTTTTCTTCCATTAGTATCAAATTATCAATTTGGCAATGTAACCTACTAACTGCACTTTCAAGTTCTTTTATTCTTCAGATACAAGAACAGTCACTTGCTCAATAATCTGATCAAAATATGTGACTGGACCGAAAAAAGGAAAATAAATATTCGCCCTCTCAATCTGTTATCCTTGTTGAGTCTCTCCGTGACTTTGTTTTGAAGATCTTTATCTTATTCTCTTTATTCTGTTGAAGCTCCCCTCTCGCATTGCGTCAAGCTCTGGCACTTCCCCGTGCGTCACTAGTTGTGTCAAATTCGTCTCTGTATGGCTTTGCATTGAAGAGTATTAGAGTAGTAGCTCGCTGTACCTTCTCCTTGCATCGAGCAACTCGTTGGGTTTTCCGATTTTGGGGAAAACGAGTCAATAATGCACGGTTACATTTTCCCACTTAATAGGCTGGTCAAATGGACAGCAAGTGGTAAATTCATCTCGCTTTGACAGCTCTTTTGTATGGAGACGATGTTAGATGGGGTCATACTTCTTTTTTTATGGTGGGTTAGATTTGGTCATACTTGAAGGATTAAGTATGTTAACAGATTATGTAAAGGATTAACTTAAATTTAGGGTGATAGTTAATTGATCAAGTGGGTCAAAAACTCCCTGCTTATGTCACAAGAACTAGTAAAAATTGATGTGGAAACATGAAACTCACCAAATTGTCTTTAATTCCTGAACAAGGAGAGGATAACTTTGTTTCTAATACTTACGACTTATAGGCCTCATGTTATATAAGAAAGACCACTGAAGTTTGTCTCGTTGAACATTGATCATGGACAGGGCTGAAGATGCTAAGGAATCACGTCTAGTTTACTTTGCCGATTAAGTATTATGATAATAATTGCACCGCATTTTGGGTTAGATTCTCTTGGCTAATAGTTCAGAAAAGCATGGAACTCAGTCTTCAAAGCTTCTGTGTGGTTGCTAGATGTTAATCTTTTTGCCCTTTTGGATGGCTCACAGCTCAATTAAGTTTTCAATATATAATTGATGGTTTTTTGAAATTGATCCCTGCCCCACCCAATCTTCTGTTCATTCATAGTCTAGTGATTCAGCATCTGGTCTATCGATCAAAATTTCATTTGTATAATATGGGTAACCCATAGGTATTGGTCCAAGAGCACATTGCATAAGTGAGCATGTTTGCGTTAGTGGTCTTCTTATATCCCTTTGACAAATGGCGAGACAAAATTTTAGTAATCAATTAACAAACTTTAATCTCCCTCGTACTGAAAAACTTCGCTAACTTTCACTTTCTGTGAATGTATATTTATTTCCTTATTCTTTTTTCTTTGTTGTTTGGCAGTGAAAATTATGATCTCTTACGTCTCCGTCAATTTCTTGATACAGGGTGTTTATTATTATTTCTACCAAATATTCAGGAATAGAGCAGAAACTGATGCACTTGAACGTAAGAAAAAAGGAATTGGTGATGGATCAGTGGGAATGTTCTCTTCATTACTGGTGGCTGCTTTATCTGGGTAATTTTCTTTTCTGTTGGATACTACTTTTGGTAGCTTGGGTAAATTTGTTATATTCAGGTATCAACAGCATTCTGCCACAATACCCTTATCAAAAAAAACGAAAAAACTTGGATTCCGTCTTCATAATATAGATATTCTTATTTTATCTAAGCAAAACTTGTAAAGCACCATAATGAAGAATAAAATTATCTGGCTAAAATGTCATTTGAGATTTTGTTGTTTTTCTTTTTTACTCATGAGTGTTTTGACTTTTCCATGTTACAGGTGTGTTAACGTGCTGCTGACTAATCCCATATGGGTAGTTGTTACACGCATGCAGGTAAAATACTCTGGGGTTCTCCTTACCTCCTATGAGAATGGTTATGAAATCAGTGCATTTACTTAATTTTTTGGTGAGCTTAGCACAGCAAAAAGTTTTATTGGTGTTGGTAGTTGGTCTTTGATTCTTTCATCCTTTATGTTGTGGAATAAGATATTTTTCTTTTAAGATTTGTTTCTACCAGTTTAACACTTTCTTCTATGATTTTTTGCTCTAACTTATCTCATGTGGAAATTGGAATTGTCGGAAGCGCAATACAGATGTAGAGCTATAATTTATTTCTTTTTGGAGTGACTTGAGGTCTGTAACTGCATAAGACAAAGGCTCGCGGAGTCAGAGAATGAGCTCTATTTAAAACTCATTTTTGATGGGATTATGTTGAGGGATATATTGAAGCAAGGGAAGAATTAGAAAGATGTTATTGTTTTTGTAATCCGAGGAAAGGGACTAACTTTAAGATAATTAACTAAAACCACCAGAAATAGAGGATTGAAGGATGTGGTGCCATTTACAGGTCAAGAATGAGAACAGTGTTGCTTACTATCTATGAAATGGATATTCAGAAGGTAATTAGAAGTTTGGTTTTCGGCAGGAATTTGCAGAGTATGCTGACTTTTGCAATGGGTTTCTGCTAGGACTCATTAATTCAACGTCGAATAAATATGTCAGTATGAAATATTAAAGGGTGCCAATGATTAGCAACCTTACAGTAGCCTGGCCGGTAACCCTGGATTGAGAAAGAGCACAGAATGTGCAAAGCTGGCAGGTGTTAATTGCAACGTAAAGATGCTTCTCTTTTGAGGAGACCAAAGCGTCATCATTGATTCTGCCGTTGCTTCTTCGGCGTTATATCAAATAGGTATGTGAGATTGAGGTCAAATTTTTATCTTACAAAGTGGAATTATTGCAAGTACAGCCCTGGTTATGAATGTACACAAACCAAAGTCTTTTAAGTTATGTGGATATGTCTTTGTTTAGGGAAACAAACATCAGATGAATTACTTTGAGACTAGAAGCATCATATGCAAAATAAGTACAGACAAATCATTGAGTATTGGAATTGACAAAGCCCAGATAGAGCAGAACTGATAGAGGATTTATAGGCGACTCCAACTAGTTTGAGATAGCGGCATTGTTGTTGTTGGAAAGCTGCAGTTTCAACCTTAATACGGTAGTGTCATTTGTCTATTAAACGTAGAATTAAGAGATCTATATGGTTAGTTACCTAGACCATGTTGATTACCATGAAAACCTTGCTCTTCATACTGTATGCTTTGACCAAGCTGGGGAAATTCCTTTGTTCGTTCCATGTAGGTGTTGAGATAGAATAGTTGGTGTTACAAGTACATTACTGTTATACAATTGTTGAGGTTGGATATCTGTCATTTGGAATGGACGACATTGGTCCAAGATTGAATGTGCTGTTGAATATTGTGAGCGGAAGTAGAGTGCTGCTTTGGATTCACTTACTGACATTTTCTTGCGTGTTTACTGCTTTCAAAGATGGAACAATGTCAGTTCGGAAGCTTAGTCATGTATTGACCATTTTGTGATCTACAAGGATTCATAAGTAGAAGGAGCATCTGAGTTATGGATGGTACAGTATTCAATAGAAACTGTGATTACTTTGGTGTCAAAATGCTTCGCTTTAAACGTATTATTGATTGCCTTGGTTTGATGTTAAATAGCTTCGCTTCAAAAGTATCACTAATCGCCTATCTACTGGTTTTTTTCATGAAAAATATCTCCCTACTATAATTTATCGCATGCTTGATTTTCTTACGTTTATTTCTCACAACTGTTTGTGCAGACTCATACAAGAAAAGATAAAGATAACCACACCAAACCGGTAACATCACAGGATGCAATCTCTGCTGTGGTTGAACCTCCTCCCTATGGGACAAGCCACACTGTATGTACATAGATATTCCTATTAAAAGATGTGATTTATGATGCGTTGAACTTAATTTGCATACCTTGGAGTCTAGGACCATCAGATTTGCATACTTAGTCTAGTTGGAGAAACCATCAGATCTGTTTTCTCGATGAAAGTTGATGCATGGATCCAACATATCTCTCTCTAAAGATTCTTCAAAAAAAAAAGGTATTTCTTCAATATTTAAGTTTTAACTGGCAACATGGATTAGTTGATGCTTTGATGCTTAATATTTTTTCATTACTAAATACTGGAGCATAATAGCATTGTGTGAAATGATGGCTTCTGAAAAGATTCATATTTTTTGTTTTTATTTTTGTAAAATCAGAAACAGAAATTATAGCTTCTGTGTAGGACATGTGTGAACTTATGATTGTACTCACCTAGTCCTCTCTGATATTTAGCATACAACATAAAGGCTATGCCGACTAGACTGAAGCATAAACATTTTTGCCATAGTAATTAGTGACCTTTTTGGTCATGCTTCACAGTCATGGTATAAACCATGCATCCTATACCTGTAATTTTCTAATTGGTAACACTTGTATATTTCAGATTCAAGAAGTCTATGGTGAAGCTGGAGTTTGGGGTTTCTGGAATGGTGTTTTTCCAACATTATTCATGGTATGTGAGAACTTACTCTAGTAATTACGACTAAATAATGGTTCCCGATCCTTCTCATTGCTAATACAGGTAAGCAATCCTTCCATACAATTTATGCTATATGAAACCTTGCTGAAGAAGATTAGGAAGCGACGTGCCTCTAGCAATAAAGGTGCCAATGATGTCACTGCTTTGGAGGTAAACCTTTGTCCCTTTCTCTTGTTCCTCTAAATTATATTCTGGACTTGTCATATTAGAATATTTAGCTTTTGACATGTCAACTACTGCAGCTCATGTGTTTATATTTTTGCTAGATATTTTTACTTGGAGCTGTGGCAAAACTTGGAGCTACGGTTATAACATATCCCCTTCTGGTTATCAAGGTATACAAGTGTTCTGTATGGAGAAATTTCGTTTTCCTTTACCCTTTTCATCAAACTTTTCCTCATCTGTTGGATTGATGTGGCAAATGTTTGATGCAAATATCTTCATCTTCCATTTTTCTACACTCCATTTCTCCTTTTGGTTAATTTAGTCATCCATCTGTCAAACTACATGCCAAATGGCACATGGATAAATACATTCTTTGCCTTCAAATTTTGTTCAATGCATCCTCTTCAATTCAGTTTCATTTGGTCCCGTTTCAGCCAACATAATTCAAAATGGTTTCACTACTTGCTTTTGGCTGTATAGAATTCCGCAGAGTATTCACACAACATTTAGTACCACATTCCTAGTTTTAACTTTCATTGCAACTGCTGATCGGAACAGTTGAAAGTTGAAACACAGTGTGGCAGCAAAATAGGGTCCAATTTTTTTCTATGCAGAGCTTGGACCACTGTCCAACAGTTATTTGAGGTTTTTCTTAATAAGAGTGCTTTCTGTCTTGCAGTCACGACTTCAGGCAAAGCAGGATGTTGGTGGGGATAAAAGACATCATTATAAAGGTTAGTGGACTTGAGTTACTGCGTTTCTATCCTAGGCATCATTTTAGTGGTTAACATATTTTTCTATATTGAGTTTCTACAAATCCTACGTTGGTGAAATCGTGCTAAACGCAGTAATTCTATTTACAGCAATATGTTAACCTACATTCGTAATAAAAATGACAAAAGTACAACCTGGAGTCATTGCGACTATTTTATCTAGATTATCTTGACTGAAACTTTGTTGGCTATTTGATGGTGGATTAAGTCGGCAATTTTCTGAAACTTGATAAAACGTGTATTAATCTTACACAGTTTTTTTGGCTTCTTTTTTTTTTCGAAACAAAAAATTCAAGTAGTAAAAAGTCGCTCTATGCAATATAGGCACCCTTGATGCTATTGTGAAGATTTTACGCTATGAAGGCTTTCATGGATTCTGCAAGGGGATGGGCACAAAAATTGTACAAAGTGTTCTTGCTGCTGCTGTTCTATTCATGGTCAAGGAGGAACTTGTCAGGGGTGCTAGATGGTTATTAACAGGTAGTTCTGCTACTTCTATCAGATGAAAGCCTGAGTAGAAGTTGGTTTTCCTCCACTGAAGTCTAAGCAAGGTGCAGCGCCTTCAGAACTAGGATGGGCTACTTTGTAATAACTAGATATAATTTATTTTAATGACGGATAGTGTACTAACCAGCTTGCGCACATCTCGACTATTCAATTGGATATATGCTAACCTTCACCAGTATAGATACTGGGTAGTTTGCTGTGTCTCCACGGTATAGAGTGGAAATAGCTTAGTTGATCCTGAATCCATTCTTTGGTCATGGCGTACTACTTGTTAACTCCATCTACTATCTTCCTACTGGATCAAAGGTGAAATGATGTTGTATTTCTTATTACTATTTCAAAATTGTTTGGACTTGGGATTGAGCTTCTTTATAAGTAGAGCGTGTTATTTAAGTCTATTGGTGAACCAATTTCCTTTAGTTGACATCCTTCACTTTTGTCGGGCTTAGTGCATCTAAAAGCTTTCCTCTTTGCTTCTCATGAGGCCCAAACTTGATTAAAAAAATAAGGAATTGATAGAAATACATTCCATCTTGTGAATGAGAATAACCCTTGGTGGAAGTGTAATTTGTTGGGAGAAAACTAGGAAAACGAAGTTATGACTTCGCAATATTTTATGTAGAAATGCCACCAGGTAGCCGCTCTAAATGGTTCCTATTTAGGAATTAGCCAGTGTGTCCTGAATTTTAATTTTTCAGTCCAATTTTTTGGGACAAGACGATGACAACAACAACCCAGTGGGGTCGGGGGAGGGTAGGATGTACGCAACCTTACCCCTATCTTGGAAGGGTAGAGAGACTGTTTCTGATAGACCCTCGACTAAAGAAGATGGAAGAAGCCCTAATAGCAAGACAATATATTCAGAAAACTAAATCCAAAGTAGCAATAAAGAATATGAAAAAAGTACTGCTAGCAAACTACGAAAGTAGTGATAGCAAGTAATAACAGAACAAGAAATGCAATAATAGCAAACTAAGGATAAAAGGGGTACTATACTAATAGCATGTTTGGCCAAGTTGGAAAAATCAGCTTATTTTGAAAAATATTTTTTTCAAAAGTACTTTTCAAAAAAGTGCTTTTGAAGAAAAACAGATTGTGTTTGGCTAATCAATTTGAAAAGCACTTTTGAACAATAATTTGTGTTTGGCCAAGCTTTTCAAAAAGTGCTTTTAAGTGTCAAATTACAAATAAGGACATGAAGAGGTTTACTTAATAGTTAATATTATATAAGTAGATAAATAATTACAAATATTTATTATTAAAGATAACAATTAAGTTTTTAATTTTATTTAAGTAAAATATAAAAATAAAATTGAAAAGTACTTTATTCTTTCAAGATAGTTTAAATATATCAAAATATTATTCAATAAATAAAAAAGTTCATCCCAAAAATTATTTTATATTACTTATTAGTTTAAACTAAGTAAGGTTATTTTGTTATATATAATATTTTGCAAGGGGTATTTTTGGTAGGAAGAAAAGTCAAAACTGCTTCTGCTTCTGGTTCTAGGGAGAAACTACTTTTTTCTGCTTCTTCAAAACTTTTTCTGCTTCTAACCAAAAGCATTTTTTTTTCCAAAAAATGGCTTGGCTAAATGCCTCAAATTGACGAAAAAACACTTTTTTAAAAGAAAAAAAAACACTTTTGGCATGGGGAGAAGCCTGGCCAAACAGGCTATAACACTACTACTATCAAACTAATGAAGACAAATGAAAGCGCACGACTACCTACTAACCTTCTACTCTAATCTTCAACCTCCACACCCTTCTATCCAGGGTCATGTCCTCGGTTAGCTCAAATTGTGCCATATCCCGCCCGATCACCTCTCCCCAAGACTTCTTTGGCCTACCTCTACCCTTCCTCCCCCCCCCCCCCCCCCCCCCCTCCCCAGGCCAACATCTCACACCTCCTAACTGGGGTATCTGTGCTTCTTCTTTTAACATGCCCGAACCATCTAAGCCTCGCCTCATGCAATTTTTTCTCCACAGGGGTCATTCCCACATTGTCCCGAATAACTTCAATCCTAATTCTATCAAATTTAGAATTCCCACACATCCATCTCAATTTTTTGGGATAAGAATATCCTGAATTGTTCTGAAGTTAAGATTTTTTGTTCAAAATTTTAGGATAAAATAAGTACTTAATCATCTCGATATAGCATCCCTAAGAATGAGTGTTTGTTACTGCATTCTTGGTCTTTTTGTTTGAACCAGATGTGTTTCATAAATGCCTTAGGTTAATTAACACAATCGAATTTTCTCTCCTTTTTTTTCGAGTTTCTAAAGGGGAAATCAACATATAATTTCAGTGTACTAAAATCTTTTAATCACTATCCAAGTTAATTCGCCAACTGGTCAATATCTAAATATGAAATTACACATATGCCATATGACAAAAGCTGCAAATCCAAGGTTCCTTGCTTCTTAACTTCTTAATTAAACCAGCTTTTGTCTAATCGCAAAGCTGACGTGTCACTTTCATTATCACCCCTTAGGCCCCACACTGTCCCACAATAAGTAACCAGTGGCCGTAGCCCGTACCAGCCCGAGCCCAAGTTCAGAAATTAATTCCTTGTATTTACTTTAGTACGTAAAGAATTTTTTTGTGGTAACACTGTGAATTAAGCACCTCGACCCCAACTCCTTATCTGGAGAGTTGTAGATCAGGCCTTAGATTCATTAATTACATCACAATCTCTGCATCAATACAGTACATCTCTGTCCTTTCTTAAAATGTTTAAACATGTCAATCCTATTTATTAGGTCTTTCTTAATCTGCGTTACTATACTCTATATATTTACAATTGTATTCCTGAATATTTTCCAATTTCTAGCCTTCCAAATATGGTATACTATTGTTGCCCATAATGCAGCAGCAACTTCCTTCCTAACCAGCGGCCACTTCTTCCTTTTAATTATATACAGAACCCTTTGTGCATCTCTCAGTTGCATTTGAATTCCTGCCCAGTGCATTAGCTCCTCGCGAATAGCTTTTGACCAAGGACACTCTACAAACAAGTGTTGGTTTGTTTCCCTGCCTGATCAGTACATAACACACATTTATCATCCTCCACCAGAATATGCAAAGAACTCAATCTAGCCTTTGTGAGCAGTCTTCCTTGAGTTGTTAACCACATGATGATCATGTGCTTTGGCTGAGCTATTGCATTCCAGTGAAGATCAGTTGTTGCCCATCTTCTGTGGGAACCTTTAATGGCCAAGTAACTTTTTGTGATTGAGTAATCTCCATTTACACCCAGCTTGTATGTGTCTCTCTGGTACCAGTTCCTCATCTCTTCCTTGAGGGAATTTAGTTTTCTCCAATACCAACTACAATCTTGTGGAACCCGATGAGTCCAAATATTAACATCAGTCTTCATATAAACATCATGGATCCATTTAACCCATAAGGACTCCTTTCGCATAACGAGCTGCCACTATAGTTTCCCAACATAAGCTTTATTTCATTCCCTACAGCTTTTGATGTTGAGACCACCAAATTTCTTAGGCAGGCACACTTTCTCTCACGCTACAAGTGAAATCTTCTTCTTATCCTTTGAGCCACCCCACATGTACTTTCTACACTTCTTGTCAACCTCATTCATTATGCTCTGAGGTAAAACAAAGACTGGTCCCCAAAAGCTATGAATTGAGAATAACACAACATTAATCACCTGAAGCCTCCATGCATATGATAGTTGTTTGGCATAACTGAATTTAATTTTATTTGTTATCTTCTCGACAAGTTGATAGCAGTCCAACTTACTTCACTTCTTAGGTGACAGTGGTAAACCTAAATACCTTATAGGAAAAGTCCCTAGGGAGAAACCAGTATTTCTTAGGAGAACCTCTTTCATATGATCATGAACGTCTGCCATAAACAAGCTAGATTTGTCCATATTAGCCACCAAACCTGATACACTACTAAAATGTGCTAAAGCCTCTAGGACTCTATTTACTGAACATGTTTCACCTTTGCAGAACACCATGAGGTCATCAACAAAAATTAAATGTGTCAACTTCAAGTGCTTGCACATAGGATGGAATTTGAAATCTGGGAGAGCACTCATACAACCCAATGTTCTGGAAAAATATTCCATTACAAGCACAAAAAGTAAGGGTGAGATTGGATCACCTTGTCTAAGACCTCTTTCCCCTCAAAGAAACCATGACTTTCACCATTTACACTGATTGAGAACTTTGTAGAAGTTACACATGTCATAATCAACTCTGTGAACTTTATTGGAAAGACATAACCTATCAGAACCTCCTCTAAAAAAAACCCAATTTACCATGTCATAAACTTTCTTCAGGTCTATCTTCATTAGAGACATAGGGGAAGTCTTCCTGTTATAGTACCGCAATACGTCATGGCATATAAGCACATTGTGGAGCATTGATCTGCCAGGTAAAAAAGTAGATTGGTTATCTGCTACGAGATGTTGCGTTGCCACTCTCAGTCTGCTATATAATAACCTTGAGATGCACTTGTACAATACATTGCAACAGGAAATAGGCATGAATTAGCTTGCATACTCTTGATTGCTTAGTTTAGGAATCAAAGCAATATTAGTTTCATTCAGCTGTCCCAACAACTTTCCATTTTTGAAGAACTCCAGAACTGCATCTATAATCTCTTCCCTAGGCCAGGCTGACTTAAAGAATCCACTACCATAACCATCAGGCCCTTGGCTCTTATTACTGTCAATTTGGAATATAGCAGCTTTCACCTCCTTCCTTTCAAAAGGTTTCATTAGGTCTACTTGTTGTTCAGTTGATAAAACATGGCCATTCTTTATAAATGCTTCAGCTGCTTTGGTTCTGCTTCTTGCTTTTCCCCCCCAGCATTTCTTCATAGTATTTGACAAATAGTTGAGCTATACTATCTGGATCTGACTGCCAGATATCCTGATCATCCTTCAATTGAGTAATTGTCTGTTGGAGCCTCTTATGTTTGATGACTGAATAGAAGTATCTAGTGTTGTCATCTCCTAACTTTATCCATGTAGCCTTACTTTTTTGTTGCAAGTAGACCTCAGCTAAGTAAGATGAATGTCTGAACTTTTGGTATTTCTGATGTTCTTCTTGTTGCAAGTTTGGATATGTTGGTCGTAGTTGTAACTGCTTCTGAACTTGCAATAAAGTTTCCCTATCCTCTTTCACTTCATCCTCAATGTTCTTGAAGAAATTTTTGTTTAAGCCTCTCAAAGTTTTCTTTAATAGCTTCAGTTTCCTAACCACCCTTAATATTTTACAGCCTTCAATCTCTATATTCCAACCTCTCTCAACCTGCTCCAAGAATTGTGGATGTTGAGTCCATACATTGCAGAACTTAAAAGGTTTCCTGCCTCTATGTCTTTCATTGTTTAGCACAACCTTCACTGGACAGTGGT